CTTCGAAATTTTGATATATAAGCTATACACGTGATTTTTAAATGAATTTATATCTTTTAATAATTGTATTTGACTAAATATCCCATAACATAAAAAGCATACATACATCCTTAGTTATCTCTCAAAATAAACTTGCGTGTGCGCATTGATTAATACGCCCTTATTATGTCTTTCTCACTATTATATTCATAGTTATCATATTTTAGGTTAACGTTACTACTAAAGTATATTAGGAAAACGGAAAACCTAGCCTAGTAAAATTGTTCTATGCGTTCCATTAAAAAAAAACACACAAGTTTAGTTTGTATCTCAACATTTGTGAGCTTTAGAAGAAAACTGACTTTGCTACTGGATTTTGCCGTCCAAAAAGTGGTTCAATTTTTTCTACTACTATATCGCGTGCGGAAAATGTTTGTCGATTAAAATTGGCCATCAAAAATTTTTGTTATGTCAAGGATAATTTCATGTGGCGACATAAAAATAAGTTTAATTGTTAGATAAGCTTTGTATTTATATTCCATGTTATTGGAATATATAAATATGCGTAGCAATTACTTTATACCATTTAAGGTGAAATTGGAATTTGTTCTAAGACCGCAAAACTAATTCAAGGGCGCTTTTCAAGTGTACTTTGACTCCAGGTAAAATGTATGTAATCGACAAGAAAAACAATTTGATTTTGTAATGGAGTTTAAGGTTGCCCTATAACCTATCGATTCAAGTTTTTTCATAAACTTCGTTTTCTAGTCAGCCATGTATCTAAAATAAAATTTGTGCATTTCAATTTTAAGTAGAAATACTAACTTCCATTGCCTTTTTTGTTTTACACAGCGTTTCGAGCGTTATCAAGTGCAAATTAATTTTAATTATAAGGCTGCGGGGCTTATATACTAGACTCCAGCGTTTACCCGTGATGGAGTCGGGCGCAGTCAAGCAAGAGGTTGTTCCGCTAGGACGCCAACATTGGTGCGCTCTATTAAGGGTTGTCAGATTGTAGATAGTTCCATGCTTGCATTGGTAGACTTGTTTCCGTTGTTTTTAATAAATACAGCTTCCTTAAACTCGCGCTTTTGCCAATGAGGTACCTTGCGGACAAGCCGAACTTCGGACCATTTGATGTTGTGTTTTTTGGTCCATAGGTTGCACCCCTCGTTGTGTGCTTCGTATGTTCTTCAATTCTAACGTCAAAAGGTCTTTTGGTTTCCCCGATATATGCTCTCTCTCATAGTTCTGCTGTCGATTCTCGTTTACAATTTGTTTTGTCAATTTATTTTTAATACTGCTTAATTCTATATCGCGTGGTGCTTCGTCATTGCGTACTGTCATTGGTTTTTTGCAGAGTGATCCGGTACTGTCCGGTATGTGTAGGTGTCCTATATACGAAGGTGGGGATAGTGTCATTATTTCTTACAATTAAATTAGAATAAAAAATGTTCAGATATTCACAGTTATTTATTGGTTTATGACAGCTGTTTCATCGACAACACAAATCTGTCATAAATCAATAAATAACGGTGGAAATCTGCAAGTTTTTTCTTTAATCTAATTGTGTTAAATGGATTTTTATCAAGTAAAAGCCCCCTCAATTCAATTCCATTATTTCTACTTACTAGACATCAAAGAACGACATTCAATCAAGAATCAAGTCAAAATGAAGTAAACGTAAACATTGAAATAATAAATAAACTTAAAATGATTACTTCAGAGACATGACTAAGTAATTAGTTGTTTCTTATTTTGTCTTAATATCAAAATTTATTATTTTGTAAAAACAAAAACGTATTTTTGAATCTCCTTTTTTAAATTTTATCTTCATCATTTTTGCTAGACGGATTGAAGTATTTCTGTGAATGAATGAATATTAATGAAGAAAAATGAATTTTGTGAAAAAGATTGAATCGGTGAATATAAGAAAAACTTAACGCAAGTAATATAAGGGCGATAGCTGAGAACTATACAATAGTGGGATTCAGGGTGTTCCGTCTAAAAATTCAGACAATATGGCTTAACAAATATTTGTAAGACTTAAAATTTATTGTTGATATTGGAAAGATTACGTATTAGGTAACGGAAAAGTATGTTGTTTTTTAATATTTTCAATTTTTTCTCAATAAATTAGCGACGTGGCATTAAGATTCAAAAACAATAGAGTGCAATTAGTAGCAGGTGCAGCTGCGTTATGGTGAGTAAACAAAGGGGACAGAAAAATCTGATTTTAAAATTGTCAAAAAAGGTGTGCCACAGGGCTCGGTTGTTTCCACATTGTTTTTCTCGATGTACGTCGCAAATATGAAAGACAGTGTGAAATATTCGAAACCTTGGGCCAATATGCGGACGACTCACTGCCCATTAACACACCGAACATTGTAGAAACACAAGAGAGACTAAATTATGGTATGCAAAAAGTAAACACAAGACCACTATTTTGAACTTAACCTTGAAAAGTCACAACTAATGGTAACAGACAAAAAAAAACCTAAGAAAATAACAGTGCAATCTAAAAGTTTAAATTAACTAACCAAAACTATCCTAATCGCTTAACAAGAAGAAACCTAGGGATTATAGATATTTGGTAGTTCTCTATCTTTCGAACTTCACGTAAAAAGAAAATAACAGCGGCGTATCTGCGCGTATAAAAAATACAAATAATATAAAACTAAACAGATTTTAGTTGTATCTGTATTTAATTATTGTGATAAAGTCTTTGACAGTTCGCTGTCGCGGCAAACGAAAAAATCAATCCAACGGCTGCAAAATAGCTGTAGACTTTCAATCAGCGTAAGAATCATGTGCAATTTTCACATAGAAATTGCTAAAGAACGGTAAGACAAAGTATCGTTTAAGTTTAAGTTTTTATCTCAAAGACATACGACAAGAGCTACTCAAGTTTTTGAAGTGCTCAGACCCAGAACCGCAATCCAAATGTGGAATGAATTACTAAATTTTCTTCATATTTAATACAAAGGCAATAAATTTTCCGAACATGTAAAAGTAAAACTGCTCAATGAACAACAATTTTGTATGATTTGCACATTGTTAGGATAGGAAGATACAATTTTTTTTTAATGACTTAAGCTTCAGGTACAAGAGAGGTCGCCAGTTTTACTCCTACGAAGAAAATTTAAAATTTTATAACTCGCTTTTATAGATCGCTTGAAACTCGAAGAAACCGTTATGATGTTGCTTTTCTTTACAAAATTGTAAATAATCTTATCAATTTTTCTTTTTGTATAAATTATTTGAGCTAATTCATATCAGGTGCGAACGAGATTGGCATTTCCGAGGGAGCGGTTTAGGTGAAATTACTTTTCTAACTCCCCTTTAATTAGATGTGCTCAAAACGAGATAGATACGGAGATATATATATATATATATATATATATATATATATATATATATATATATATATATATATATATATATATATATATATATATATATATATATATATATATATATATATATATATATATATATTCTCACGTATTGATTCACGGATGGAAAAATGTGATGACACTATATTCCGGGATATCATCCGTTCGCTCGTTGAACTCCGACTGGAATCCTGCAAATCTTGCATCCGACTGGAATCCTGCAGACGTTTCGCCAAAATCTCACTTGGCATCTTCAATGCTCGCGCTCCGAAAACACTTCGAACACTGTTATTTAAAGTTATTTAAATCTAAACCTTTGTGTCATTGTAGAGATAAGAAATGTATTGCTCACTTTCCCAATTTTCTTAAATAGTATAAGCGTATATTGTGCCATTCTGTAATTGGGAAGCTACGTCTGCATGTTGAATGAAATAAATAAATAAATATCTTTTCCACAGTTTTTAAATACAATTTATCAATGGCTTCTTTTCCAAAAAGTTGATTAAAAATATTAACGATTACAGGGGAAAGTGGGGAATCCATAGTTGTTGCTAATATTTGTTCGTAAATTTGCCCGTTACATGTGAAGACATTTTTTAATTAAAATAAAAAGGTATGCAGGGAGGTTTTTATGATGTTTGAGATGATGTTTAGTGTCTTAGGAACCTGGTCGATACCTAAATGTATTATCGCATCACGATCCAGATCAAAATTTCTCCGTGATCAATTCCTTACTTTATTATCTAAATCTGGAATTAACACATCTCATCTTAGTTCTTCCCTCAAACACCTTTCGTTCCCAAGATATCAGACGGCCAATTAAAAAATATCGTTTCCTACATATAACATAAAATCTAGATTCTCTCCTACACTACTACCACTATAACTACTAGTACTACTACTACAACTGTCGCAAAGAACACATCAGGGAAGTTGTTCGAAAAATATCAACCAGACTAAAAGAACACCAGATATCAGACAGAATTGCACAAATAACACCATATTTTTATTGACTCATACTAAAATACTTGCATCTGGCCCTTTCTTCTATCCAAACTAACGAAATACCCAAATAAGCCTGTCTTTCATTTGGGATTTAGTCATCTGTGAAGCAATTAAAGATCTTTCCCGGCAGGTATTTAAGGTGAATACAAAGCAATCATCAAATCAGACAGAGTGTAAAATGTGTAATTCTACACGACGATCGCTTATTATTTGCACTCCTGCAAACAAATTTTGCAAAAAATAGTTTCCGGTTTCCAACATTTTAAGATTGCAAACATTACATTTATTAGAAGATTAATTAAAAGAGGAGACTTGACATTTATTGCTCAGTTGGTTTAAGCGCATACGCAAACTTAAAATTCCCAACAAATACTAGATTTACGAATCCTAAAACACCCGATTTAAAACAAAAAATGTTGGAACTTTAATCTGCGAATGAGCACATTCAGTACAACTTAAAACTCGTTCCAGGCTCTGTTGGAAAGATCGTATGGTCTGCTATTTGGGATAACGATGTTTCTATATGCCACTGTAAGAAACGACAATGTTGCATTTCCGAAAATGTTTGAAAAGAACATATTTTTTTAAATAATTTTTCTTCATATTTTAATTGTAATCTAGGTAACTCCAAGGAACCGGGAGGTGACCTTCTCGCCGGTTTGCAAGCACTTGGATCGTTGATGGGGACTTTCCAAGGCGGAGGCGACAACAATCCACTGAACGTGCTCCAAGGTCTTGGGTCTCTAATGGGCGGGAACGAGAACAATGGAGGATTCGATCCCGCGGCGCTGGGTCAACTCGTTAACATGTTCGCCGACTCTTTACCTGAAAAGGTGGAAAAACCAACTCCATCAAAGAAACAAAAACAAAAGGCCAAAACGGCGGTAAGCTGTTTTTTTCTCCAAATGTGTCATAATTATTAGAATAAAAATAACATTTCAGCGCGAAGAGCAGAACAGTTTCGATTTGAACGACATGTTAAGTTTGGCGAACTCTTATCTTGGTCAGGGAAGCGATGGGAAGAAGTTTAATGTGATGAGCTTTTTGCCGATGCTAATGCAAACGTTCAACTCTTTCGTCGGGCCTGACGCCCAACAACGTGCGGAAAGCCATTCGGGACATTCGTCGGTGTTGCCGCCAATTCTGGAAAGAATTCATTTGTTCTTTGATAATTTTTTACACTCTGACATGGCCAAGTATATACTTAGTTACATCGGCGACGAAAAATCGTTTAAGGTAAATGGAGTACTAAAAAGTTGATAGCTGCAATACGTTATAGGCTATTTTAGAAAAACAGAGAGTAATAAAATGGGAAATTTTTTCCGGTGTCGGCCATAGGCGTAAACTCTGTAAAATTATTTTTGATCTATGCTAATTCGATGATAATAAATAGGTCTTGTTTTCGTTTTGGAGCAATGGAGTAAAGGGAAATAAATGACACTTTAATTATAGAATTATTAAAGAATACTTGCGGTGGCACTCTAATAAGTATATTTGTTCAATTTTTCAAAGAAATTTGTTGTTGATAATTGGAACTTGTTGACCTTTACTCTCAACATTATTTGAGATATATTAAAAAGAGTCTAAAATGCCAACTGTCTTAATTAAAAAATGCTGGGAAAAATCACAAATGTATTTACGGAAGCTTTTAAGAAGAAAGCCTCGACACCTTCCATCTAAAACCAAAAAATGGAAAGTCTGAAGACACTTTTGTTATTTGACCTCATAGTCAAGAATGCCTCTGAGATTTTTTTAGCGATTTTAAATCTATAAACCCTTATATACGTTTTAATATTGAATGGGAAACTAATAATAAAACGGGACCTTCTGTTTACTGAAAACCTAGGCGCCAAGAGCGATATCTTAATGCATTGTCACATCACCATCCGGCCTAAAAATCATCGTTTATCAACTGTCTTGATTACAAGATTACAGAGTCGTAAAACTCGCCACTGAATTCAAAATTAAAACACTTTCATATGTTCTTCTTTCTAATTATTTCTGAAGAAAATGAATCCGAAATCATCCCCACACTTGCCACTGTGATCCTTACTTCCATTAAAAATATCCCTGACCACAAATCAAAACTAAGAAATATAGCTTTAAAATCTGATTTTCCATTTGTCCAAAAATCTCTTCATATCTTCGATCTGTCAAAGACAAAATTCCGTTTGAGATACTAGAAGTTTATAGCATTCCATGCATGTGTAGCAAATAATACAAAGCAGAAACAGGAGTATCAACTAGACTAAAAGAAAATACAAGAACCAAATAAACTCTTGCCGAACACAATCATGAATTCGACCAACATCAAATCTTATTTGATCAAACTAAAATTCTTGCATGTCAAAATTAAGTAAAACGAAGTGCCAAAGAGAATAAAAAAATATTTTATCTTGATAAGATTTGGATTAATGAAGGTTATATAGTTCTAAAAATAAGATTGTGTCATACTGTTATACGTGATATTCACTTTTATTTTATTAAAATAAAATATAGGTGGTTAAATGGGAAAAACTATTTTCAATTTTTCTATAAGTCGTTTGTAAAATTTCTAAGGTATGCAAGGCTATTTATGATGCTGCCATAAAAGCTGCAGGTTGAAAGACATAGGAGCTCATAGGAATACGATAAATAAATAATAAATAATAGGAAGGAAGATTTTTTAAAAAATGTCTAATTTTTTCAAAGTTGTCATTCTCGCATTGAAATTCAAAAACAGTTATAAAAAGATTTAAATATATATTTTTTATAAAACACCACAAAGTTGTAGGGTAAAATGCTTTTCTCCAGCAGAAACAAAATTTTTATTGATATTTGATATAATTTGGTAACATAGTTTCGAGTCTTGTAGTTTCGCAAAGAAATTTTTTTCAACCAGAATATTTTAGTTTTGGTTTTGAATTGATTTTCTAATTGTTATGGAGTGGTTTATTTACAACAACAAAAGAAGTACAGACCACGCCTGGGTAGAAAAATGGCACAAGCCTAACTTATATTCTGTACCTTTCGTTTTAATGCAAATGTTTTCACCTATTGATTCATGGATGGAAAAAGGCCATGACAATATATTCCGGGATATCATCCGTTCGTTTGTTGAACTTCAATTAGAATCCTTCAGACGTTTCGCCAAGATGGCATTTTCAATGCTCCCGCTCCGAAACTGATTTGGAAAAAAACAAAAAAATATAGGGAATTTAAATCTGGTGAACTAAACGGCCACTCGATCCACATTTTGTGTATAATGGTGAGGTGCACCATCTTGTTGGAACCACATACGTTTACCAATCAACCCTCTTTCGTCATTTCACATGTTCGGATATAGTACTATTAGGCCATTGTCAAGAAACCGAAGGACGTCAGTTTAAGCATTAATTAAAATAAGTACCTTTTGCCTTTGTTTTTAAGTAGGTTTTTATTTCTATTTAAGTTGAGCAATTGGTTCCAATCAATAATTATGTTGTTCACAAATTGAGTTCTACATTATCGATTAAATAATTAATTATTTCCATTGTCATTCCTACCAAAAAGTTGAATTTGTGTATGAAGTAAAAACCCTTTCTATGTAAAATAAAAAAGTTTAGAAGCTTAAGTAAAAAAACGTGCATGTTGCAGCATCGCGTATGTCGCCACTGGATCCAACGTAATTAGAAACCTTCATATTCTAAATTTCATAAATTGAAATCTGATAATTCCTGAGATATACGACCGTTTCGAAACTTTTTACTAACCCTGTATGTTATAGTTCATCCGATAATGGATCAGCAATGTGTTAGCAATTGTTTGATCGTTCCGCACATTTTGTCCACTTCCATACCTCCTTTTCCTAGTTCGCTTTTCAACAATTACTTTTTTATGGCAAAAAAGATTGTCAGATTATTACTTCGTTAATGTTTACTGATTTTTTCATTATAATATTGTGATTCAGAATTATATCGATAATATGAGCCTTTCATTTTATTTCGCCTAGTTATATAGTGTTTCAAGAAACATGCAGCAAAGCTCGGCTTCAGATTGGTTATTCTGAAAAAAAAGTCACATAAACGTAGGTCTGGAAAAGCCTAGTCTCCAATTAATGAAATACTCTGTATATGTTTCCCCTCGATCACTATCAGTTTTGGTTGTATGGTTACTAGATAATACTAAAATATAGAATAGAAGAATATAGGTTGTATGCTTTCTGAACGGTTGTTACATATCGATAATTGAAAATTGAGAGCAGTTCTTGTTTTTCAGGTTTTCACTGACGAAACGGGTAGATTTCGTTATGCAAAGTTCACCGAGCTTATCGAAAACCATTCTTTCAGAAGGCATTGGATTCAAATGCTCACTAGTCGAATTGTTAGCATGTTGCAATACGTGACGGATCCGAAGAAACACACAGAGTAAAAAACTAATCCTCTTTTGTCATTAATTTGTTAATTCGTACTATTTTCAGGTATCTCACAACTGTTCAAGTATTGTTCAACGGTTTCTTGAAGAACCAGGGTTTCCCCAAAAAAGCGCTTTTCGATACAAAGAAGCCAGCGAAGTCCCTCACCGAGTTCGTGAATCACGCTGCTAAAACTTATTTGGATGCTGATGCCGGCGACGCCAGGGAATATGTAGAGCCCGCTGTCGAATACGTACAGGTACAAAATACAGAAAGGTCCATGATCAATGCGCAAGACTATTCAATCGATTTCCCCCATTGACTGAGGCGTTCTTTAATGAATTTGTAGGAAATAGGAAGGTCATACGACTTAAAACAAATCATAGATGAACCAACTAGGCAGAGTGTTTCCTTGCTGGATGTAATTCTGTGCTCAAATAGTGATTTCGTACCTGACTCGGGTGTTGACCTTGTTCTAGTTATATCTGATTATCTCTTAATCTAAACCTAAGCCAATTTTTCGTACATATTTGAGTTTTAAGAATTTTGATGGCAGCTGCTAACTTGTACCATCTGAATAAAATTAATGGTAAAACTTTTTAATTTACTGACAGAAATTCTATCGTCACGCTCCCTTCAGAATTACTAAAAGCAGAACATCTTGGATCTGGCCTAATTTAAAATATTTATATCAATTTATAACAACAATTATATCATATAAAGCTACATGCAGAAAATTGATGCGAAGAACATACAATATTATTATATTATATTAACTATTAATTTACAAATATCGTGAAATCTGGTTTACATCCTGAGCTTTAAAATTTTTATTCTTCTTATAAAAAGGAAAATAGTCCAGAATTTAATTTTTAACTAGCTGCTTTAGGGGAAATTACTTCAACTTTTTTTTTCTGTAGATTCTAAGGCTATTGACCTTGCAAAATTTCTTTAACCTTCCACTCTCCATTAGTGTTGGAAGGGCTCAAAAATTTTTTTAACAAAGGGAACTGAAGGATCTGCGCCCCAATAGAATTTTGCCACTAAAATGTACTTAATAAACAACTGAAACAACATCTAGATGATACAGAAATCTCGATTTCTCAATTTTGTTTCCTCATTGATACCATTCCGGTTTACCACTTTCCGTTTTTCATATTCAATACTACCACTAGCGTTAAATCATTCCACTAAACACTGAAGAGATTGTCTTGTTGGTACACCTTTATTAAGCCTCGTAATATCTTACTACCAACAAAGTAGTATAAGACAAGGTTAGTAGTGGTGGATCGCTTCTCCAATATACGGATTTGATATATGATTGATATGATATATATCAATCAGTTATGTACACTAATTTCTACATCAATTTTGCACTACAGGTCTGTAGTTTTGCACCATCGGGCTGATTTTAGTTTTTTTCTATATTTCTTGATAAACTTTTCTCTAACTCAAAAAACGTAGTTTCAATGAGAATATATTGTCTGCAGTCCGCAGTCATATCGGGTTTTGGGAATATAATAAATAAAAAAAATGACGTCATTAAAAATGTGTATAATTCTGACTTTGCAATGCAGTCATGGTTTCGAGTGGACCGCAGCTGTTCAACTACTTTGTTAAAAGTGACCGACAAACTCGATCGCTCTCTTTTGATTGCTGTTTTGGGTTATCTTCGTTTTTAGGAGAATGCCTTAACACTTATTGGAAGCCAGTTAACTGAGAGGCAGCAGGTCACCTCTGCCAATGATAGGGTTGATTTTGATTTAAGAACTCTGTCTAATATTTCGTACTGCACTTGGAAAAGTCACTCGCGGAATTTATATGGAACTTACTGAAAATGAAAAAAAAACCTAGGATTGGCCATGGATAGTGAGCGAACCTTACTCTAAAATTTATTTATGCCCAAAAAAATTTAGCAAAATATACATTGGAGGAAGAGAACTAAAAATATCAATTAGGCTAAAAGAAAATGAAAGAGTCTTAAGACTACTACAAATAAGCTCATTAGCAGTTGCCGAACATATTCATGAAACCGGACATCAAATCTTATTCGACCAAACTAAAATTCTTGCATATAATCCATTGTTCTAAGAAATTAAACTGAAATTGAAATCTCTAAATAACCAAATAATAGACTCAGGTCTTTTAAATCTGGGATGATGTAGGATCAATTATAGCAGTCTGGGAAAACGTAGAGTTTTCTGACATGGCAACTTCAGAATTGTTAGATTTCTATTCTAACGTCCTAACTAGAGTTCTGAGAGAACGTTCAGCTTTTTTAATACCTACACGTATTATTGACCTATTTATTAGTAACCTCAGTGCTTCAGGTTTTTGAGTTATTTTGCTATACGTTCACTTTTTACTGACCATTGTCTTCAGCTGGATATTTTCGTTTTTTTTTTGTCTACTCGCATCTAGTCTATTATTCATAGATTTATTCCATCGTCCTCATTAAATTTTAATATAATTGTTAATTAATAATCTAATTTATAGTCTATTTTTAAGTGTATTTACCAAGACTCCATATTGTGTAGTTCCAAATGGCCAAGGTCAAACGTGTTGTCTCCCTGGCATATAAATTATGTAGAAAATTTTTAAATGGGTTTCATCCATTTAATAAGCTTCATCCATTTAGTTAAGCGTCCTAGCTAACAATATATTTTTTTGCTCCTTCCTATTCCTAATGCATTTTTTAGGTTTTCATTTCTTTTTATGATTTTTTTTACCAAATTTTCAATAAATTGCAAAAAAATATATCATTAATAGAAATAACAGGCTCTAGGATTCGTTTCAAAAATCAATTTTTATATTGTCGTTTTTTAAATTGCCAAATCAGAAAAGTTGTAAAAATAGATGGTTTATACGAAAATAAGATTCTTAAGGGATGTTTTACGTCATCCCTGACTCAGTGAATGTGATCGTGCTGTTTTTTTAGGAAATATTGAAAATGGCTCAAAAGTCACTCGCGTCAAAGAGAGAACCAAAAGAGCTTTCAGATAAGCTGGCAGACACTATCAACATGGAGATTATCGAACCTATTATAAGAGTAAATCGTGCATATAGGTTTGTTAAGTCGCAGCCAAAATGTGACAGGTAAGAGAACATCTCATATTATATTTTGAAAAATATGACTTTCTTTAACTTTATAATTTTGAATTATTAGTTAATCAAAGTAAAAGTAAGTACAAGTAGATAATAAGCATTGTTCCATGAATATATTTCATTTAACAACATAACAAAACAAAGGACAATCACAATAATATAACAATATACAAATTTTTGTAATACATTTTTTAATTTTAAAATAATATTTTAAATAACCAATTGGATAGTGAATTAAATATCCAATAAACTAACTAAAACTATTAACACTTTGTTAACTATTATGAAGGGTGATTCAAAAAAAGACGGTGGATTTAAAAATTAATTTTTTTCTGCATGAATTTCACTAGAACTCAATCCGCAAACAACCAAATACTAAAATTGCGGCCCTATCAAATGATCTTTTTGAATCACCCTTTATTATGAGTTATTAAGATTCTGTTTTCCCATTTAGGTATATATTGTGTTTGATAAATCAAAACTCGCCGACCGAACAGGAAAGTCTGCCTGGTCTTAAAAAGGCGCTGTATAAGGGGAGTAGCATTTTAGCTGCGTGGTTTGTAGGATCTCATTCCGGTACTTCCTTCTGGGACTTATACGCGGATATAACGGAGGACAAGAATTGTCACGTAAGTGTATTTTTGTGTACTTGTATGGTTGTAACGGATTTTCAAATTATTATGAAAGAGTTACGACGAAGATATTTTTTAATTGTTTATTCGATTTAAGCTATAATCGTTTTCGTTAATTAAAAATGTATGCTTTTTTATTGAAAATTCTTGGGAAGTATGATGATATTGGGAATTTGAAAAAGGAAAAATCAAATAAATCGACAGGAAATTATTTTCTGAAATATCAACGGTGCTTAAAATAAGTGGTGATGTAAAGGTGAGACAAAAATCTTTTTGCGATTATGTCAGGAAACACCATCTGGTTATGAAAATCCGTGAAGCTTTTTAGGCGCTATAGGAATTCCTTTCGTAAAATATTTGCACAACTCCTCCTATTTCCTTTCAGAGACAGAGCAAACATAAATGAGTTGAATGTTTCAGCTTTAAAACAAAATAAACGCAATATTTAAATTAAATAAAAAAGAAAGCTCTTTATAATGTTATTTTTTTATAGAGTCGTAAAGTACAAATGATAGAGTTATTTATAGGATACCATCTCAGGCAAATGACCGCCACACCTCACTTTTTTGAAATACTTCCTTCACTGCACGCGTGGCTGCGGGGTTGATGGTATGGTAACTTTCACTTTAAATAACCCTATAAAAAGAGAGTACACAACCAGCAAATGTCTCATGCAGTAATTGCATTGTCTCACTAGCCAATGTAGGCAAAAACAAGTGTGTTATCATGTCGTGATCAAGCACCAGTAACATTCACTGCTTGACCAGTTTCTTTTTCGAATAGTTCTGGCTTAAAATCTGAACCATAAATTGACATTTGAGGACGGAGGTCTTTAGTGAGTATACGTTATAAAGAGCTTCTTGAAATTAGCAATTCTTGTCTACGAAGCGAATTGACATTTGAACGGCTTGTTTTTGAACTATTAGTGTGTTTAGCATCAACAGTTGATCCAGTCAGCCAGAATTTTCCAATTACTTATTTCACAGTTGCAGTTAAATCACTATTCCGACTATAATTGGTATAAAACTTTCGTTGGCTCCCAAATTTTAAATATAACTTTGTAACTAACGTAAATAACTGTTAATTAGACCAAGCTTTTGCTAACTTCTGCGTTGAGATAGTGAGTTCCACTTATCAACGAGGATGTTGACAGGGCTCTCACACTTTTATTATAATTTATTATTTGGACTAATATATCGCAATGCGCAAGTCAATTAAGTTTCAGTCGCGCATTGTTTATACTAATTTTGTTCGTCGTGCTGAGCGGTAATAGCGGTATAGGCATACATGAGAGTCCTAACAATTTCAGAGGCATTTATTCAGAGCAGGAAGGCAGATTTGCGAATCCCAGCTGCCGTGTCTATGTTCATCTTCAACCGTGTCCATTAATTCCGATCAAGCATTGAAAAACAAAATGACTGTTGGTCCTGACCAAAGCCAACCTGGTACATAAAACGAGTGTTTGTGATTTGAACTTTGGAAAATTGTCGGAGTTTATCCTCTCAAAAGACGTCATCATCCGCAGCTGAAAATTACCGACCTATTTCGATGTTTTGCAATTTATCGAAAATATTTTAGATTATATTACATAAATTTATTTTTTTTCAAATTCCACTACGCAACAAAATGGTTTTTATGCAAAAAAATCGTTCGTCGATCAAAAAATTATGTTCCCTGTCTTCTTATATCTGTGACTCCCTGAATAAGTAAGGTCAAGTTGACGTTATATACACTGGCTTCCACCAAGCGTTGACCAGATGGATCAACTTCTGGTGTGCCTCAGGGTTCTAACCTTGAACTACTTGCGTTGAATATATTGATAGATGATTTCATATCTCATATCTCTGCGAGAAGATTGCTTCTGCAGATATATTAACAACCCATTGCATCTTAACATCAGCAAGTGTGATGTGGTCGTTACCACCACACAAAAACTTCTATAGTCTTTAATTATAGTATGGATGGATTCGTAGTAAAAAATTGCAGGCATTTTTGTAGCTCATCTACTATTTAAATATTATTCTATTGTTATGTTAGGTTCAAGCTTGGCTATAGCTCGGTGATATGGTCACAAATAATATAAATGCCACTCTCAGTCTAGTGAGAGTGTGCAGAGAAGGTTACTGAAGTATCTAATGTTCAGAGACGAGGCTTTCTATCCTGAGAGGGGAATTGATCATTATCTTCTACTGACAAAAATTACGTTTTCATGTTTTCTTACCGCAGTCACCCAGATCCCATATCCAGTTTCAAAACGCTCTTTACAATTTATGTGTTAACTTCCACAAATTATCATAGTATTGTGATTTATATTGATTTGCTCCAGACGATACTTAGGTAACTTCGAGTGGCGTCATGTTATCTGTGCTGAGAAGCTTTATCCCTTTTTTTTTCCTAGTTATAAAATTAGTAGATTGAAGATTAATTTTCCCGTCCATTGTAATTAATTCTTATAATTGGGTCGCGTTACTTGTTAGAAATAAAATTTTATTATTATTTTTAAAATATTGTTCAAAATGGAAACACTTTGTTCTCTGCTGTACTAACCATAAACCATCAGCCATCAAATTGTTCTTGTCTCTGGGTTGCCAATTTTGGGACACCATCGGGAAAATTTTGCAAAACCGGGAAAAATTGTATTCATCTCACAAACGCGAAAAAAATTCCCCCATTTTTTGTTTGTTTCCTAATACATTAGCTCCTTGGGGCTACCGGTATATGCAAAATCAGTATTGCATCGCCAAGAATGTTTCATTGGTTAAGTCAATTAAGCCGTGACAAACTTCAAATTTGGCTTGCGCTATACTAGCCGGCAAATAAAATTGCCAAATGCATAGGCAGCTTAAAGGACGCCATTTAAATTTTAAGAATTGGTTGTAGTTCTGAGTTTGCGTTGCAAAAAAATCTGACTTTATATAAAAAAATAAGACAACATTGCTCTGTTTTCTTTATTTACAGAAACGATCAATTAATATATAATTACTTTAACGAACACTTTTGGTATTCAATACTTTTAAAAACAATATTAGAAGACCTTCGATTTAAAAGCAGAATAAGATTATTATGTATTAACAAGAGATGAAATGATGGTTCAAAATTGAATTTAATTTATCACCGCAAATCGGTACTTTCTCGCTTATCCGCCGTAATGTAAGTATTACCAAAGTTTACAGAATATATCTAAGATGTTTCGGTCGGCAATAATATGTTTTGTTTTAAAATTAATTGTTGACAGGATTACTCAATTTAGTATTTGCTCAATCAATTTTTAAAAAAATCATTTTTATTCGGCCCTTACTTCCCTTGATTGTAGTCGTACTCATCAGAAGTTTGAAGTTCGGAGATCAAAAGCGAGCTGCGGCTTTCACCAGAAGGCGATTTTTGAATCCGCGTTAGGAACAACTTTTATCTTTAATCAGCCGACCCTAGTGGTAATTCTTTAAAAAAATGTCAACTAGGAAAAGAGTAAATTTAATGAAGAAAAGAATTCTAAATATATATAGTTCCTAAAATTGGCAGAAAATTGTATCCGAAAACAATAGAAATTTGTTTTATGTTTTGCCTATACGTCGAAGATTTTAACCAAGTATTAGATTCTGACACAGAAAAGTACTGTCTGTAAACCAGAAGTGCTAAATTTAAGTTTTGCAAATTGCAGTTTCAAATAGACGCAAATATAGTAATGAAATAAATATGGAATAAGTTTAATAAACGCCAAAATAGTTGAAATATGTTCGAATATGGAGTTGGACACCTAACAAACTACTTGTAATAAATTAGGATGTAAATATTGCCATCAGAAGAATAATACATTCGTTTTATTTAAAAAGGGAATACCCACCTTGGACACAATATTGTCAAAATGAAAACGGGTAATTCGCTTTTCAAGAGGCTCTGACTGGGTTATTATAAATGAAAAAATATGTTGGTAAAATATGACAGGATAATAATTTATAAAGCTTTCGTGCTTTTTATCCCTTCAAGCTTTCATGCTTGTCCACTGGAATAAAAGCAACCTCGGGAAAATGTAAAAAATTAATGGATTTGTCGGTAGTGCATTACTAGCATTTGAATCAAAACGGACTGGAAAATATTAAGAAGAAATGATTGTTGATGTGCTCAAGCAAAATCGAAAAAATACCATCGTCTTTAAAAAGAAAGATATTTTATTATTCATCTAACTGCACCCACCGTTCGTTCAGAAATAAAAGCGACCCTGCAAGGATGCCGCTTCTCGACTGCCGCAACAGCGGTATTCTGTAAACTTTGGTATTCTAATTATTACAAAAGTAATATTCTGACATTAGGAAGTCTTGTTGTTGCTCAATATATCCCGGATGTCTGTCGTAATTGTCCTTTTTTACATTTATTTTGGTGATGGATGTATTGGTTTGTCGCGATTTTTATAATTCAATTTAACGTATCCCAAACTACATTAACAGTATAGTTTTTGCTTTACGTACCAGTTAACGTTTAAGCATTTGAACATTCTGACTCAATGTAACGTCACTAAAAATTCCAAGTTGTCAGTATAATAATGTAACACAAAAAAAATGTTTCAATGTTTATAAACATTCGATAGCAATTTTGCTTTATGTACTTTACTTCGTCAAAGATTCGGTTACTGACTCTGCTACAACGTAACTACCGTTAAAGTAGTTTAGAAATCAGAAATTAAACATACATAACTTTTTAGCTCTACTATTCTGACAGTTGCGATGGATTCCATGCGGAAGAGGTGAAGGTAACGACTGAGTATGTACATAGTGAATTGTGAAAGAGACGATAACGAGAACAATTTACTCGACACGTATGCCTTCGCAAAAACGCCAGCACATGTGGGGAGAGAGAATTGTTTCCTATAGAGGTTGTAGAGTTATTTGATAAGTTATAAATAAATTATTGTATAAATTGGTCTAGCGTGTTTTTTTTTGGCCTTCGAGTAACAAATTGTCATTACAACAGTGTAAGGTAAGTAAACCCTGTAAAGTTAAACGGCTTCTTTTCATAGAGATGAATGTTTATCAATGTCATCTTCTCAAGTTTTGTAAAATTTCCTAAGTCGCTAAAAAAAAGTTAATATGTCAACCCCGTGTCTTTTGTATTATCTTCGGTCCAGCGGTCGAATTGTTCAATCATTTCCGAAGACATATGGCTCTTATAGTTCCCAACCTTGCCCTCTCTCATAAAAGCGTGCTTCTTGTCCCTCTTGTACATATTTGATAATGTCACTAGCCAATCGTAGTTCACTGCGGGATTGTTCTTCATATTTTCGAAACTGAGATGTTCCGCCAACACTTGGATTTGCCTTTCGGTCAGTTCTTTACCCAAGAAAGTGGCGGTTTTCCGAATAACGGCGGGCAAGTCAGTCTTCATTTCTTCATATTTCAGGAAGAGGATATTTTCTTGGTTTCTCCTTCGCCAATAAGGAAGAACGTGATTCCAAAAAGGTGCAAAATTAACTAAAAAAAATAAAATTGTTAAATCAATGATGTCATATCCACATCATTGGTGATTTTAAAACTCAATGAAACCTGTTCGCTTTGTAATTTTTTTGTTGATAATGTTTAAAAAAATAGTTAGTTTGGTATAGTTTGTGATTCGGTGCCTTTATGAATTCATCCGAAAGTTTAATATTAAAGAAGTTTTCTGGTTTCATAACACATTCAAATACAAAACAAATTGCTCTATTGATTGATGTCACTGAAGAAAGATTATATAACAAATATCCTAATAATAGTTTCTGATAAAAAAATTAGACTATCAAATTATAGGTTTCTGCAATACAATAATGCTTCGTCTTCTACAAAACTCCAGCTATCACATTACATCTTCAATATGATAAAAAATGGATTTTATCATGCTCTTGCGTTAGTTTCCACAAACCATACACCACAAAATATTTATGCAGGTAGAATGAGCTGATCAAATGTTCATGTAAGGCCACGTGTCTTTATATTTAGCAGCGCCACTATCGGATGATAAATACACATAATACCCAACAAGCTTTTAATTGTTTTCGATGGCAATATGTAGATGGCGTTCCACACGCAAATAAATTCCGAGGAAATGCAGGTATAGAGAGTTACCATAGATTTTATGGTTTACAATTGTTACTTAAAGCAAAATTTGTATATTGCAATTGCGGGTCAAGATTTAAATTTGTATATTTTGGAAGCCATTTAGTTAATTGCAGGAAAAAAAGTTTCTAAATAACACAATATACAAGAAATCATCTTTATGATAGTTTTTCCTTAAGTTTAGATAAAAATAATGATAGATAGATATTTATTCGAAATCAATTCCCCCAGTCATTTTAATAAAATAAAAAATATTCACAAGGTGTATTTCTATGATAATAATATTTTATTGGTCTATATACATTTGTTTATAAAATGGAAACATTATTGTTTCGAAATATTTGGCGCTATATCTCCCTAATGTTTAGCTTTTGACTCAACAGTTATATAACAAACTACCCTTTATTTTAAACAGGAAATCGTTCCCTTAAGTTTTTAGCATTTGTTTCGAAGTAGCCTGTATAAGTCTATAAAAACTGTACCGTAGCCTTGAGAAACAAATAGGTTTTTCGGACAAAATTCAGAAACTCGTGCAGTTTGTTTGTCGGAAAACAACTTGTCAGCTAAAAAGTATACCAAACCTTAAACCCGTTAAACTAGCAATTGTGCTGAAATGGATTTTGCTGATAGATTGCTACTTAGATGTTGAAAATCCCACTCATTTTATTTCAAAGCTCTGCCACTCTAAATGAGAGGCAAAACTAACCAAAACTTCCTAAAAGAAAGATTTAAGAGAGCCAGGACTAAAAAATCAGAAATTTAAAATGTGAGAGACGTTTAAAAGGAAAGACTTTACAATTTATTACTATAGTTTCCAAGTATATTTGTGTTGCATTGTTCCATATATACATTAACGTTAAAAGAAAAGCTTACCTATTTTTTGGTGGATGACCTTCAAGAAATATTAAGTAATAATTGGATTACATGTTTGACACGGGCTTTGAAATTCATTATTTTCCAAACGGGTAGAAACCATTTGCCTTTTTGATTTGATAAATCAATATGACCCTGACCTCTGCTGTGAGAATGCATATGCGACGTGAATGTGGGAATAACTCCTTTATGTGGCACATTAGATCTTCCAAAGAGTGATGGAGAACGAACGATGCCATAACAAAATGTTATACAAGGCGGTCGTTACTTGACGAACGGCCGATATATAGAACGTTTTCAATTTTTCGTCTATTTTGAAAATCGCGGTTTAACTTTTTTATTTTATTTTTTTAATTCTGATAAAAACATTATTATTAATATGATTTGAGCCAAATCCAGTGTTACTGCGGTTTTCCATTTTGCTGCAAATGAATGCAACTTTCTTCTTTTACGTGGCAATCATAGGTGTGTGATCTGGCCTTGTTGAGCCCTTTTCGATCATGTATAGTTGTTGGTATCTGTCATTAAAATTGGCATGAACACAAGGTACTTTTTTATATCTAAGTAGGTCGCGGATATATCAATGAATTGCCATCACCAATATTCTTTAAATATGCTTCAAATTTAAATTTGAAACTCACTAGACCGCTTAAATTTATCAAAAATGTGCAATAAAACATTTTAGGGTATGGCGATTTTAAATAAACAACCAGTTTTTCGTAAAGGTTCTTCTGAAATGTTTATAATAAGGCAGAAATCTTGTAATATTTGAAAAACATCCGATTATATATGTTTAAAGTTTGACTTAACGCAGATCCTGCTACCATTTATCATTCTGGAAAACAAGTGATCTTTTACGAGAATACATAAGTATAAAAAAATCGTAAAACAAAAAGACGAGGGTAAAAAATATGACTAGAGTATTCAATGTTATTTGAATAGATCCTCCAAAAAGCGTTATTATTATAACCGCGGTGACAAGATAGTAGATAAAGATTGAAAAAAATGTTCCCTAAATCTACTTTGAAACTATAAAAAAACAATTTCCTAATTGAAATGAAAATTCCCATTTACCAGTTATTTGTGCACAGTCGTTAGAAAAACTGATTGGTGATAAAGTAGCATGTAGAATCAAATGAAACTAAATCATTGGTTTATAAGAGAGGAAAAATAATTGATAGCATACTACGAGGAGACAATGTTTTCACTGGCTTATGGAATTGAAGTAGTAGATTCTTCTCACTCGTACCAAAGAAAATAATACTAAGAGCATAATTTTTTCTTTGCTCTTCCTAAAAATAGCCGTTACACCAACACCAATGTTTTTTTCAAGAATGGGCAACATTGTTTGTTACTTGATATGATTAAGAGTATGCTACAAATCGATTTATTATGTATCTAATTTATCGTCAAAAGCTGTCGCCGTTATCAAAATTAGTAATCTCCAAGATTTAAAATTTAAAAAAGCAAGCAACAAAATTTGGATTAACATTATACTTGCAACTATGGATTACTGCCACAATTAAGCCTAATATCACAACGCGAGTTAAGTTAATTAATTTTAATCGATTATTTTAAAAATAAGTTTAATCGAACTGAAATACATGCGTATTATAAATGATATCATCAGATACAATGAAATATCGCAAAATATTTAGATCTGACAAAAAACTTTAAGTATATTGTTCTGTCGCCTATTCTAACGTCCACTGCTAAACATAGGATTTCCGCAAATTTTGCCACTCTTCTGTGCAGCTTGCATCCAGTTCGCGCTGACTCGCTTTATGTCATCCGTTTTGTTTTGGCCTCCACGTTATAAACTTTTTGGGTCCATCGTTTATGTTTAATTTTCGCAATGTGCCCCGCCCAGTTCCATTTTAAAGGAGTTATTTTCTTTATTGCATTCTTGTCCTGCGCCCGAATATTTCTATTAGGTATTTTATCGCAAAGTAAAATTTATTAATAGATTTTTTGGTTAGTGTTAGGGTTTCGGAAACGTACGTCAGGACATATTGGATGTAAAGCTTGCGCTTCAGACATATAGGAATGTCAGACTTAAATGAATCTATGATGTCGCTGAATGCTGTCTATGCCAAGCCTAATCTGCTGAAAAATTCATAGGTCTGATTATCTTGACCTATGCGAATTTCATGGCTCAAGTATTTGTAATCACTTGTGGTATTTCAGTCTCACCTAAAAGTATGTTTTAAACGAGACATAAATTGGTTAAATGGTTGATGATGGTTAAATCCTCCGTGGCGTGTATTCGTGATATAGTAAACTGATTGGTCGATAATTTCTCAGATCCTATGCCTATTGACAATGACAGTATTTGTTTTTTTGCAAAGTTGATCCTCCTTCTTCGGTAATTGTTGCGTCATTATCACCAGGCGATTTGTTGTTTTTATATTTTTAAGGCTGATGTTATGTCAGTGATGGTTATCTCTTGTATACCCTCCGATCCTACATTTTGAACCTTTGATGTTGGTTTGCAGGTTCAACTTGGTTTGAGTACAGCTCCGAGTAGAAGTCCTTCGCTATCCTAGTTAACTCGTCCCTACTTGTGCCATTGTTTCCGTGCTTGTCTGCCAACCTACAAATATTTCTTTTACCTAAGTTAAGTTTGCATTTGAGCACTTTCATTCTCTTATTATTTTCTATTGTGTTTGAAACCTCTCTTGTGTTACATGTTCTGAAATCTTTTCTATATATCTTTATATCTTTATTGAACTGTGATAAGATAGTGGAGTTTGTTGTATGTTTGTCTAGCATTTATCTTCTTCATTTCATCACATTTCAAATCGTCTTGATCTAAACACATTAATTCAAACTTTTTTTTTTTCATAATTTGTTCGTTTAAGTCGTCAATATTTATTTTGTATTCATTTTTGCTCATAGGCATAGGATTACATTTTTAATATCTTTCGGGATACTCTCTCGAGTTGTATTTATCATCTTTCTTCCTTATTTTCTTACGTTAATAACAATTCTTGCCTGGACTAGACGGAGATCACTATCAATAGAAAATGTGTCTACCATGGTGACATCTCAGGACTATCAGTGCTCCATCAAGTACATTTGCGGCGGGTATTCTTTTTAAAAAAGGTGTTATGATGAATTGCAGTTTATGGTGCAACATGAAGTTCAAAAGCATGGCTCCTTTAATGTTTCTTTCTCCTTACCCATGGGGATCAAGAGCAATTTCGCTAATTTTTCATTAAAATCACCTAGAAGGATTGTATACTTTTCCTGATTATGTGGTTTTTGTATTTAAGCTTCGGACTTCATCGTCAATGTGTGATGCTGTTGCTTGGATGATTTTCATTTTATTTCTCTTATTAATTTGTAGTATTGGGTAATTTTTTGTTCTTCATGTTAATTTTTTGATTGATTTTCGAAAAAAGTAGATTAAAAAGTACCGCAGACTTTTTAATAACAAACCGGTAGCTGGTCGAATATACTGAATGACATTTATTATATTTTAAATATTATTTAGAGGATCTTTTTTGGACACAAGCACAACTTTCCCCTATGACTAGTTTTGGTTCTAAGGTTTACATTGCAAAAAAAATGTTAACTTATAGGACGTTGGAAATTTCTCAATTACATAAATTGTTTCGTAAACCAACTTCTTTATAGCATCGATAACTATTTGTACATTTTGTTGAGAACGAAATAAATTAACATTTCCTTTCCTACTCGCTATACTAAAATACTCTATTTCGCACCAAGTGTGAGGAAATGTCACTTCATGTCACTTCACGATCGTCGCGAACTTCGGACATTATTAGAACTTTAGACACAGGTTTGGGAGCGATTGAATGTTTTCTCTAGATTCATATTAAATTTAACTCAGTGAATGTGTTTGTGCTGTTTTCTGATAATGCACCCAAAAGTAAAGTATGTAATACGTTGATAAACTTTTTCAGTCATGAGTATTACTTGGCCCCTTTTAGTGGGGCTCCCTTAAACTTAATACATAGTATCTATAGGTAGGTACCTTATTAAATTTTAAATATGATATATATGAATATTTTATATTTTTCTTTAATAATTTTTTACTTACACTTTTTTAAAAGAAGAATAAATATTTACAAAAAATATAATTAAAAAATTTATAATTTTGTGCATCCATATAAACCACATTTATTCATCACATATTTCTTACTATCTTCAAAGCACACGCTTTGATAGGAACTGTTGAATTTGATAGTTTAGATTTGGGCACCCAAGAGCTTAATAAAACGAATTTTCCTTGAAATTTGGTTAAATGGAATATTAGTCGAACATATTTTTAGTATATTCGAATATTTTGCTCACTCTAAAACCAATACTGGTCATAATAGAAGGTTGGGTGGATTAGCAAAAAGTGAATATTCATATACATATTCATTTCCGTAGATCCCACTAGTGCGGGGTCTTTTGACTTTCAACTATAAAATAAACAATTACAATTAAATTAATATATGATTAGAATTGTTTACCTTTTCCAGCTAAAAACAGGTTCGCAAACTCTTCTAGATTTCCATCGAAATCCTTCACCATCCTTGAAAAGTGGAAATAAGATATACATGTGTCTTTGGGGTTTCTTGAAATGTAAATAATCTGCAAAAACCAAATAATATGATCAATATGGGCGAAGCTCGTTAAACATGGTGTCCAGTTTTGGTTAGTTAGTCACTTATTTGAAAAGATAGAAGGATACGGTTTTCACATTGCTGCGTTAATATTGTGTGTTATTTAATTTCCATGTCTGCTGCCCTTGAGATATAGAAATTAAAGGAATTGAGACTTCGACCAAAATATGTGTTACTTTTGAAATTTCAAATAACGATCGGTCAAATTTAACATTCTGATTTGGCGCGAAGTAAAATGCGATCAGGCATATTCATTACTGGTTTGACAAGTACAAATACACAACAAATTTCAGCGGAAGCTTGCAGACGCATACAAACAATATAAACTATAAAAACCTTTCGTTAAAATTTGAATTTTTACAAAAAAATGTATCTTAAAAACAAAGCAAGCTATGAAAATGTCGTTTTCATTATGTGAGAAATGAGGAATGTGAAAATCATCTCTTCCAGCTTTTAAAAGACTAAAAAAATATTCCCCTATAGTTCTATTCACTCATGAAGTTATCATAGTTACAATTTTTTTTTGGTAGATCTGTCTATTACTACTAGTGCTACATTCGAACAACTAACCTTCGGCCGTTTAATGTCTTTTTGAATTTCTCTTGGTAACAAATTCCATGGTAAATGGGTTTTTATACAGGCTGGACTTCTTTGTTTCCTGACATATTTTAGAGAGTCCGTGATTGGCGCGGGAATAAATGGTTTGAAGAACTTGACATGCGGATATCTAACCAATGCGGTTGCCCTAAAATCAATTGCGATGATAAATGTTCAATAATTACAAAATATTAGTATGAACTAAAAAATCGCCCGTCACAAATTATACTATAATTTATAAATGAATAATGGAGTCTATGAGTGAGTTACAAGTTCCGCAAATAGTGCATAAATGACCAGGACCCAATGATCAGGAACTATTTACGAGGGAAGATATTTTTGGTAACATTTGCGACTTCCGCAATATGTGATTTGTATTATTCGTTGCTTTGTTGAATGTGCAAGTTTACCTCACTTATCAGCATCACTTTAGGTACTTTTTTTCATAAAACACATAACGGTAACAACCGTGCATGGATATGAGTTGTCATTCTAAAGTTATAGCGTGTTTATCGAGAATATGCATTCTCAAAAAATCAACAACTATAAGTTGTAAAATTTAAACATTTATACCGTGCAGTTAAGAAACTTAAAAAATCCCATCACTTCTGAAGATACCCAAAACAAACCAAAATTTGGCTATTTTTTTTTGGTATTATTAAGAAATAACGGTAACTTTCTTCTTGCAACAACATAACATTATTAACCATTAATTTTTGCATTTTTTTTGTAATTTAATTATCTTCGTATCTGTTATAGTTTCCAATATCCCTATGATATACCCAAATTAAATTGGACAAACTGTATATGTACGTCTTTTAAAATTAGTCAGATAAATTCACGGCGTCCCATATACAAAAATCGATTTTTCTGTTGACAACTATGAAACAAAAAAGTAAAAGGGAGAGTTGGAAGAGTTTTCGAAGAAACCCAAAACTGGTTTCCAAATAAACCCTATTACTTTGAAATGGTAACAGACATCTATGTATTTGCGTTTTTTATTAAAATTAAAAAAATGTCCAATTTGGCACGCAGTGTAAATCTTTATTTCAAATGCGCTACTGAATATTGCAGCTAAATCATTGGAAAGTCGCGATGACCTAGATCCAAGAACTCTGACCAGAAATAATAGAATTTTGGTTTAGGGATAGTGCTTTTACCTATAAATAGTTTTGACCTAATGACCAATAGAAAGTGATGCTACCTGAAAATTTAGTTTTAATTTCTCTAAAAAGTGAAATTCTAAAAAATTTACAAGCATGCAGCATAAAAAAGTATATGTCTGTCCTTTGTTGGCAGAAGAAAGCGCTTTAAATGCTAGTGTTAATTGCTAGATTCAATTTAAAAAAAGCGTCAATGAGATGCTCCTGATTATTAAAAATAAATGGTTTATACATGTTATTATTATTTTTATAAAATTTTCAATAATATTGTTAAACCCAATACAATTGAGGCGCTTCCTGCCCAACCAAGTTAAGTGTATCAAACGAGTTCTTTGAATAACACTTTATATCGTAAAAACAGCGACACGCATTCAACCAGTCAGGATGCGCTAGAATACTAGAACACGGAATATACTGAACGTTATTTTTTAAATTCTTCCATAGAGCGAAGCATTATGTATTAAATCTTTGACAAGTGTCAGTTACTATTAAACTACAAGAAAAGAGAATCTGCAAACTTTTAAAAAAGTTAAACATTACTCAACAGAGTTAGGGTAATATTCTGAAGAAAACCATGGCATTATTCCTTCGAATAAAATTTCTGAGCAGCAAATTAGAGTATTAAAAGATCCCATAAAATCTTTTCCCGAATATTTCAGTCATTATTCAAGAGCTAAAAGTCTTCAATGTATTGAACAGTACAATGAAATTTCCAAATCCAGTTAAAGAAATCTTTTATAGAAACATTTTTAACACTCTATAATCTTAGCATTAAATCGCCGCATAATGACACCCGTGATAGCTTAAAAATGAAGATTTTCAGAAATGGTGACCAAGAGACGTCAAGCAATGCTAAGGTGCATCACATCTTCATATATGAAAAGCGCACAAAGCCGGGGTGAACAAAGAAGCAGCAAAAGAATGGCCAAAGATAACCCTGATATAATAAAAGCAACCTTTTTTGACATTGTTGAGCGCGGCGAACATGGTCAGCAAATAGGATCTTGCCTTTTCACGTATGAACGACAACTACATAATTAATGTTAAAATGCTTATTGCTTTTAATGATCATGCTGGTGGTAAAAAATATAATAAAATCAAATTCTGGATTAACATTTTTAAAACACTTCATTAGATTTAATTATTTCGAAGTTTTTGAGCACGCTTATATGGAGAGTGATTAAGATTTCGGGGTTATTAAAAAACCAAGGAAAATCACAAAAATTGGAGACAATGTTCTCTGATTTCACATACACACTATTTTACAAGGATTGATACGTACGTAATTGATAAATTGGATTTCACCAAAATGGATTTGAAGGCCGAAAAGGTCGCCCGCCAGCACAGTTCAAGTTCAACGCACTGTTCCTCCAGAATGCCAGAGGAAAATATATAGCACCCAATCAGCCAACCAGAAAATGTAGAAAAAAGCAACGAAGGAACAGCCGCGGTAGGCCCCGGTAATATAGATTTAAACATATATGCTCTGCAAACTCAATAGGAAAGTGAAACCAATTATCAGGTTTTGTAACTAATGATAAAAATTAACAGACTTCTGCATATTTACCTTTTTCTTCTGAGTTTGATTAGGAATATATCGGTTATCATGTTAGTATAGTAAAAAGTGCGTTTAGAATAATATACATCTGTGTATTATAATATATAAGTATAGGGGATTAGGTACCAAGTCGGCAAGGTTGGTAATAATATTCTAAAATTTGTTTTGTTAAATTGTGCATTTCTTTAAATTCATTATAAACTAATGTCATTATTAGGATAATCTGTGAAATGAGTGGAAGCACTATACACATCAATACGCAACTCTACTTTATTAATAACAATTCCGTGGTATTTTCAATTATTATTCATCAAGTTCGAGTAACAAATTGATGACTAATTCGACTTATCTTTTGTTGAATTTTTGCGATTTTATCTTTTGGAGAATTTCGTGCTGAATGTATATTAGTAACTCACCTCAAGTGATTTTTCTAATAAACATTGTATCTAAGATTAGGATGCGCAACATCGCGGAAACGATAAGGGCTATGGGGTCGATTAAAAGTATCCTGATTAATTTCGATAATATTCAATAACTTTAATGTCGTTGCAATCTAACTGAATAATCACCCTCGCGTTCATTTAAACATAGATTTTTATTATTTTATAGAAAATCGTTAGCAATTTCTGAGTTAATCAAAAAATTTGCTAAATTATTTTTATAACTAATAGTCGACGTTCTAGGGATTTGTTGATCTGCCATGTTTCATAAAAGGTTATACTTAAGAAGATAATATTGTATGGAAGATGTTTTCATTCGCCAGATATACATCTGGATCAACGGATGGGATTGACGCGATTACTTGTTTTCCTTTCATAATTCGATGTTCAATTTCTTTCTCTGTTAGTCCTTGGTCTCTTGTTGATCAAATTTTGGTTTTATTATTTATTATTATAAACTTCAGATCCTCCTTACCCTAGGCAATAACCACTTGGTCATCAGCATAATGGAGAGTCTGGAGGGTTGTAGTTTTATTTAATTGAATGCTCATGCCACAGTGTGATATCTCCAAGTTCTCAGAACTTCGTTTAAGTGAATTTTAAAAAGTATGGCTGAGACTCTTTGTTGCTTCGAACCACCGGACAGAGTACAGTTGTTGCATAGCTCTTATTGCAGTGTTATTTGCGCTTGCCAGATGTCCTGTACTGGCACAGTATCACACGCCTTTGTGATGTTATGTCCACGAATAGGTCCACTTCACGTTTATTTCTTGTATCTACCAGCGAGAAAGCTAATCTGGCTCTATTACGTTCCTTAATATTTTTTCCAAATAAACGACTCATGGTGCCTGTGACAGATATGAATCTGTAGTTTCCACAATTATTCATTGGGACTGTCTTATGTATTGGTGTTATAGAGGCCTATTTATTTATATATCCATTTATTTCTCCATTTAAGTATTTGATCAAGAGTAAGATTATTCTAGCAGTTCCATTTTTAGCAGTGCCGATGGCATGATTGTTTTTCATGGCTGTGCTCCACTTGCCCTCATTAACTTCTAAGGGCTGCCCATGTACCTGGTATCGTATTGGTGACGTGAGAATATATTTTTCTCTATCCCCTCTTGGTTCCTTAGTGTAATGTTGTTGTCACTATTTATCTGGATAGGTTAAATATAATCCTTATTAGTGGTGGTAGAAAGGATAATAAGGTAGCCAATAAAAATGTATCGTTATAGAGTTATTTGGCGCAATCTTTCAAGTGGCCCCGTAGCTCTTACCATTTTCGAGATCTTTGTGAAGTGCCCATTGTCAAGGGTGACATAAAATGTAGTTACTGCTACATTTTTCTATAGCTTTAAACATGTTAATTTAATTTTAATATTATAATTTTTTTAAATAGAAATTATTTTAAAGATGGCCACCAAGCAACAATTTTTTGCCCAATCCTAGATGGTCATGAATTTGTTGCAAAATAATTTGTTGTCGCTTACGTTTACGCTCAAATTACGTTTCCGCAGTTTTTCTTAATGGAAACTTTTACTTCTTAAAGATTACCATCTCATTTCTTTCTCTCCTTTGGTTCATTGAAATGAGGATTTCATGATTTATCATATCGAAGGCTTTGCCTAAATCAAATAAAACCAAGCCAGTAATTTTGTTATTATCATAAGCCTTAAAACAGTTATTTATTACATCAGCAAGAGCGCTTTCCCAACTATAATCAGATCTAAAATCGATTACTTTGTCGGGAAAATACTTTAAATATTGAGAAATGCTCTTGTTTGCTTGTCCGTTATTTTCTATAGAATCTTAGAGAGTGTACGCAGAACACTAGCAGAACGCAAATGATCAAAAAAACAGTAGGTTTTTGTTGTTTTAGTCAGATATGATTTCTGATTGTTTCCCCGGCACAAGAAAATATGAAGACTAAATAGATTCATTAATTATGTGTACAACTATGGGACAACAAAGATGCAATACATTAATACTGCTGGTTCCTGTTGCCTTAGTCTTCGCTTCAACATGAGCTGCTCCATATTATAAGTGTGTTGTTGGTCAACATTGGTTGTAATGAATTGACACTAAGCATAATAATATTAAGCAAACAATGTTGTCGAAAATAGAATCAATTCACTCTGATCACAGATATTTTAATTTAATAAGCCATCTATCGTCTAATATCGTTGAGGATTTCAATTTGAAATTCTAAGGTAGACATCACTTCCGGTTAAACCGTTTCCACAATCCGAATATGTCAAAAAAATGGGATTTCATGCTTTTACCCTCTTACAAAATCAAATGAAAAATCTGTAGAAAAAAGTTAAGGGCGTAATTACATCTTGGGATTATCCGGTCATGAATAAGCATTGAAATGACTCAAATCAAATATTACTTACTCTAATTGAGGTGACCGTTTGAGTAGGTTTTTTTCAGCTCCTTTGAAATCTAAATCATTTACGATCAGCCACACCATTTCTTGTGTCCAAGTGGTACCTGCAACAAAAAAAATGATAATAATGAGCTTGTCTAAAAATAAGTGAATAAGGAATTATAGTATACTGTTATATATAAGTATAATTAAGGAACAAGTAAATTTGCATACAGTCATGGCAGGCTAAACGTTTTTGGTAAAGCAGATGTGGGATCGTTCTGAAAATTTGGTTCTTTACGTAAGCAATTTAATATCGGTACTTCTTCCAAAAAGTAGCATCAAAGTTCATATTTTAAAGGGAACCCTTGTGTATTATAGGTTTTCCTAGATGTCATCAATATCTGCTTATTATATATACTATACTATTTATTTTATCTTTTTCGTTTTCAAAATGTAGCTCCAATCGAATCTTTATTACTTATTATTATTATTTTGGTTATTTTTTAAGTGATGAAAATTAAAAATCATGTCAAATGATATATCGTATTAAAATACCTAAATAATTAGGTAGGCATGAAATAATCAAAACATATTTCAACGTTTCAGTTTATTCGTGTTATTTTCATTATTATTCTATTCATTCGCTTTTGATAACGGTTCGAGGTACATGCCAAGCGCAACGTTCAGATACAATTTAAAATAAATTCAATGGAAGTTGAAACAAATAGTTTTAGTTAATGGGTTATTATTAATACTTATATTGCGAGAGTGCAAAAAAATTCTATCAAAATAAAAGTTTGAAAAATTCCTACAAATTTTAAGATGAATGGTAAACGGTTTTTGGACGACGTATTCGTATAATAATAACAACAAAATAATTGATATTATTAATTTAATGTTACTAATATTTCATTTTAATATTTTAGATCACTAACCGAAACTATTCTGTATATGTTTGACAAAATTACCTTAATGTGAAGGACGAAATACAATAATTGAGAAATTCAAAATACTAACATTTAACCTAAACAATATTAATGGCATTAATTAAAAAAAACTAACTGCGTTTATTTTGATAATATCATAAGTAATTATAATTAATTAATGAATAAACTGAAAATTAATAAAATAATCAATTAAATAAATTCAGTTGTTTTTAACGCTAACTGTTATACGTGGGATGGGATATAACAATATGTTCAAAGATTATTAGTTACGACGATTATTAGTCTCTAATTCGTGTTGCTCTATGATTGGTCCGCTGGAAGTAGTCTGTTGAGTAATTTTGCTTGCATAAACAAATAACCATAAAGATTGAAAAAGTTCAACATAGGCATTTTTTAAAGATCATATCCAATTATGATTGTTTAGTTATTATTAGATTATTAGTTATTTAAACTAACCAAAACTGAGACATTTGGAAAAAATATGATTTGATTGGATTTGATTTAATATAATTCAAAATAATTCAAATAAGATATTTATCAGAATTGGAAACTTTCCTTTTTTTTTGGAGAGATTGAAGGAAAGTTTTTATATGGAAATTTCGATACGTTTAATACGTATTCACTCTTGTTTTATTGCAAAAATGCTGATAAATCATTATAATGAAGATCAAAAACTTGAAATTACAAGTATATTTTATAAAAAAAAACAACATATATCAAGCAAGAGGAGATTACAGGGAATTATTTGGCGAACCTTTCCCGTCAAGCAGCACTTCTTTCAGATATACAGAAAACAACTTCCGGGACAGAAATGCTTTAATTAAAACCGCAGATAGTTCCAGTCGGTGTAATTGAAGTTAGTTAGAAAATTGGCTTTTGTATTAATTTAGAGAAATTCCTCCACTGAAATAGAAAGTCATTATTTTAAACAGTCAAAAAAAAATAATTAAATTTTTAAGGATTACGGATACCATAAAATTTTACTCGTCCAAAAATAATTGTCAGACGATCATAAGAGTAGAAGGTTGCGATTTTACGAAGATATGATGGGACGATTTCAAGAAGATCATGATGTTTTAAAAAGGTTTTGTGAACTGGTGAGGTCACCTTTACAATTGCTGGAATATTTAGGAGCCACAACACTCATATCTGGCAGACAGAATCCTCGAGCTATTGCGAACGACAAGCGATCCATGTTTGATGTGACATCTTTAACAACAGATCGAGGTGGACCACCAGTGGAAAGGTACCTAAAATTTTTGCAAGATAACCCCATAAGGCAATTTAACATTTTTATTTGGCATCAAGACAGTGTTGCGCCTGGGTGTTTCAAACAAGGGCAAGTTCTGTGGCCGCCAAATAGTCCAGATTTGACTCCCCTGGATATTTTCTTATAGAGACACCTTCAAGAAAAGTCTACGCAGAGAGAAGTCGAAACAAAACAAACAGACGACTTCATTCATTCTCTAACCCCTCAGTTATTATTAAGTTCCATTAATATAATTCGTGATTATTATTAGAAGTGTATAGAAAATAATGGAGGATTCGGTTAAAGTGGATTGGGGTTTTTTAAACATTTTTGAAGATATATATATATATATATATATATATATATATATATATATATATATATATATATATATATATATATATATATATATATATATATATATATATATATATATATATTTATATTTATATATATATATATATATATATATATATATATATATATATATATATATATATATATATATATATATATATATATATATATATATATATATAAGTATCTTGGAATCCTGCAGTCGTTTCGCCAAGATCTCACATGGCATCTTCAAAAAACTAGTATAGGCAATTTTTAAAATAGCAGAAAATTGAAGAACGTCGTAGATCTCGGTGAGTAGTGAAGATTTATCACCACGCTGTTTTTACAATTAAATATTTTTCAAAAATTAAGTACATAACGTGTAAGTCGAGTGTGTTATGTAGTTGGAAGATTTTTCCTGCTTATACCTTCCAGTTTCGACCACTGGTATATTTTCGATTGAACTGAACGAAACCCGATGCATACTTTAAATGAAATTGCCTAAACCGCTATAAAAATATTCGTTATTCTTAAATTTTAATTAAGAAATAAACTGGGTATAATAAATTTCGAATTCAATTACTCACATTGTTGAATGTTTTATGTTTTTACAGCCAGTATTAAGTCTCACGGTCACAAAGCCGAATTCAGATTTTAAATTATATAAGAAAGGATTACATTTTATCCGATTTATTTCATTTTCGCTTTGCCCGAAAATATTTCGTTCGCCAAACATAAATAAATTGCACCACCAAGGATAAGACAAGATTTCACAAATTTAGCTCCATTCGTCTGATTAATTGACAAAATAAATAATAATAAAATTAATTGCTAATTAATAAAATTTTTGTCTTAAATAAATTCCATTTAGGTTAGATGTTGAGACATTGTTGTTGTTATGTTGTTATTTCCAGATTATCGTACGAAAAATCACAGGTCCCGAAAAAATTCTCCTAATGAATAATCTAGAATTTTCTTATTATTTGGTATAATTTTTAACCTTGATTTTTTTCAAAAGAATTGCTCAGTGCGCCTTGAAGTCCTTAACAATCAGTAAAAAATAAAAATAATTATAGTCTTTATTTAACGACGTTACAGTGAAGTTTGTCCTAACACACACTTGTATAAGTATAATCCTAATTAATTTGGTACCCTCAGAGCGACAGTATTTGAACAAAATGTTTTTCATATAGTAGCAATTATCCTAATGATTTCGTTAAGATACCTTCATTTTGAAATCTTGCGTTTGATGTTTTTTAATTTCTTCATAGTTTATAACGTTCTAAATTCCATTTTTCTGTTTTAGCTCAATGTGCATTTTATTTCTTATATTTCAGTGTCTGCCAAACATCAAATTAAATTTGAAAATTTGGAATAACAAGATAACAGTTGATAATAGTTATGGATACAATGAATGCAGAACTATTAAGCCACTGACCATACAATTATAATAATTAAATTAATTAAAACATTAAATTAAAATAGATAGAGTATTATATTCAAAAAAGCAAATCAAATAACCTTGACAATAACGTATTCTTAAATGTTGGACACCCTCTTTGGGATAAATCAATTTTGAAATTGTTATTTCCCATTCGTGTGCTTCCGTATATGGCATACACGTTTATAAACCATTAAAAATGGCAATATGGCCAATAATGTCAATAGAGATTTTAAAATTCGCAAGGAATCTCAATGGTCAGTTCTAAAGTCTCCTAACTTCGTCAATTTCGAACTTGGTCATATTAAATGCTAACTAGATTGAACATTTTTGATCGAAAATATTAAAAAACGAAGTTTGAAGCTTGGAAAATGATATAAGTAGATGCTAAAATGTGAACACCTTAAGCGATAGATCAATTCGACGACTGTTGTATTTCCCTTTAATGAACAGGCGATTACAACTACTCAAAAATGATTAAAACGTTGCTACATATTATATGTAATAAGTATGTCTATGTTTTGAAGCCGCCATGAAAAAAATTTTGATCACAATTTTGTAAAATTAAGGAATTAACGGAATTGATAATTTCAAATAAGGGTGAAAGAGATAAAAAAAAAACGTTTTAACTACATAATATTATTTTAATTTTTAAAATATAGTGCAACTATGCAACAACGTTTTGATCTCACACACTAATTTTGAGACCGATAACGACTGCTAAACTATTCACATGTTTTTCCAAATGTTTCTTCTAATTTGTACAGTACAGATTAATTCAAAGACGAAAAAAACAAACGATTTAATTTTTTTGTTCTTCATAAATGATCTTCGGATAGTTTTTGAAGCCGGATAACATTCGAACGGATGGAACTACAGGCTTCGAATTTTCCTCCGTACTAATATTACGCGATGAACAGCATCATCATCAAAATATTGAGCCTATCATTCATCGGCGGCCATTTTGTTGGCTATTAAAGGTTTTTGCTCGGAAAGTCACTAGGCAACAAAATATGTCTCCGAAATTTTGAACTATTAAGTTAAAATTCGCCAGGACTGCAGAGTTCCATCTTCAGATGGAACTTATGGAAACTGGGCGGGATTGAAATTTCCAAAGTATTTAAAAAAATTAATATGGAAATTCTA